AGGCTTTGCACTTCACTCTTCATTTAAGACATGTTAATTGTTTTTAATTAATAAAAGCATTAGCTACAAGTTGCCTTCGATGTTATGATAATCAGAAGCCTGAACAACATATTGTATGATAAAAGTTTCCTGTCTTCAATTTGTCTTATGCAGAATTATGAAACTGTAAGAAGTGATTATTAAAATTATAGACACTTACAACTCGTAGTTCCTTACCTTCACTGCCCATTAGATACTTTTTTTTAGTAGTGATAGCATCAAAAAGAGGTTTTGAGGGTCTAGGGAAATATAGCTCAGCAGGAAAGTATATGTTTTACCAGCATGAGGATGGAGATTATATTCCTGGTACCCAGGTCAAAATCTGACAGCACTTGTAGTCCCACTTCTAAGGAAGGCAAAGTCTGGAAGATCTCTGGTGCTTGTTGGCTAGCCAGTATAGCTAAATCTGTGAGTTCTGGGTTCAGTGAGAGACCTTTTCTCAAAAAAGAGAGTAATTGGGGAAGAAACCCAACATTGAATACTGGCCACCATATGCATGCCTGCAGACATGTATTTCACCACTACCCGCTACATACGCAAATTTTGTTTACTTAACAGCCTAATTAGTACTAGACACTCTAAAGATCTTTCCCATTTTTCTTTGTTGTGAAAACGTTATTTTTTTTAACTTACCAGTTTTATATCAAATTCAAGTGTGTTCACATTATTATTCTCTTTGTATTTCTGTTGCATATTGTTCTAGAAGTCTATTCTTGGATTTAAGAGTCTAAATAGCCAGAACTCTTTGATTGTTATTAATGACATTTGAATATTTCTATCTTTTGTTGGGTAACTCTACTCCAGTCTTTTTCCAGCGCAGCCAGTGTAAAATATTGTAACTCACATAGCCCCTGTGAGCATTAAGTGGCTGTTGTTTGGAGACAAAGCCATTCACAGTATTTAAGAGTCCTCCCCTTATCCTTCCCAGAACATAATGACTTTAAAGTCTGGTTTCTTGTGGGTCACAAACTCATTCAATTCAATTAATCCAATTAAACCCAAACAATGGCAACAATGTTGGGATGAAGCATTGTCTTCCGCTCCCTTTGATGTGAGCTATGAGCCTCTTCCCCAGCATAGATTACTCTGAAACAGTAAGATCTCCCAAGCTGCCTTCTAAGAAGCAGCCTAAGCTGCAGAATCGCCCACTTGGGTTTACATACATCTTGACAGAATTTCCATCTTTCACAGAGCACCTTGAATTTTCCTACGAGTAAATTGGACAAGCATGCAAGTTTAAAGAGCCTGGTTCTGTTTTGAAAGACCTCCTCTTAACTGCATGGCATGAATGTCTGATAATGCTGTTCCTCAACACCAGACAAATTAGAGATGGACTTATGCCCCCCAAATTGCTAATAACCTTTACTAACCAAGTGCAGTATTATGCAGTTCTTCCTAATCAAAGGTTGCCTTTGGTTTCTGACTGCCAAAACCTTAATAAAGACAATAATTCTTGGCTTGCCCATAAGTGAGATTATGCAACCAGCAATGAGGAAACCATTAAAAAATTAATTTAGGGGAAAGTTAATTGGTGTTTTGCAACTTGGTCAACAAAATGTTTCATCGTGATTAATGGGATTTTTCAAGGACTGAAAACATTAAGCCCGAGGAAATTATTTTTCCTTATTAGCTTTTATTCTTCATCTATTCACTTGAGATTATAAGGAGGCATAGATAGTTTAGTGACTTCCATGATTGAAACAAACAAACAAACAAACAACAAGCAAAGCAATGTTCTGTCTCCAGGAATAGAAACTAGAAAAATAAAAGGGGCAGGAGAAAGTCATTCTGCTTATATGGCCTTAATTTATCAATGTTGACTCTCTGTGGGCTAGGCTATAGAACTGTATCTCCCAAATTTCACAAGTCATACATCTTGCACAGTGTTCCGTTTGTCTGTTTCAATGCGGCACCATGACTTCTGGATTGTGCTGTTTCCCCACAATCTCTCCACCCTCTGTCATCCACTGAGAGCTTTGGTTCCTCCCCACTTGTGGCTCCTGCTCCCTGCCCAGCACTGGCAGCGAGTTTCCAGCTTTTAGACCTTGCCTTGGTGTCCTGCTCCTTGGAAATGAGAAAGCATTTTGACTGCTGTGAAAATCATTGGATTAAGAAAGCATTGCCCTCCTCTGTGACCCACCCCTTCCCGCCCTCCAAAAGGAGCCCAAGTGCCTACTTACATCCTGTGTCTTCTCAGTGCTCTGTGTCCTGTGGCCAAGGCGTGCAGCAGAGGCATGTGGGCTGTCAGATCGGGACACACAAAACAGCCAGAGAGAGTGAGTGCAGCTCATACAGCAGACCAGAGTCGGAGCGTGTCTGCCAAGCCTCACCATGTCCTCTCTACACTTGGAGGGCAGAGCAATGGCAACAAGTAAGTAGAGCCATGAAGTAAGTGCACACCAGCCTGCGTGTCGCTCCACCCCCTTGTCAGCATCAGATCCGCACCCTATGGAGCTTGCAAAGCCATTGAGCACAGTGGCATTGCTGGCTCCTTCCCAAAATCTTTGCTATCAGGCTCTAGGCAATTCCCGTTTGTGTTTCTCCCTGTGTTCTTGAATATTCCAGAGCTGGGTTCACTGAAATGGGAAGGAAAAAAAGCTTTGACATGCCTCTGGCCAAGAGTATAAGCATAGAGACAACTTTCACTTCACAGGAGGGGAGATGATGGGCGGAGTATTTTAATATGTCTTTGGACTTGGTTATTCTGTGTTAATTTGAATAGCCATAACCTGCAAGTACTTGAGGTAAAGCTTAGTCTGTATTTTTCCTTTTTCTGTGCCATTGACTGTCAGGGAGAGAAAATGAGCTCTCGTGTGAAACACTCACTAATTAGGATCGAACTTCCAGTGGTTTGCACAAGTGGTAGAATCCTCAGGAACAGTTGAGTTAAATGCAGAAATAGGCTAGACTTAATTTTTCCTCTACTCCACAAGTTAATGCTTGACTTTAGCAGACATTTAACTGTCTGTGCTGGAAAGTCTAGTTGCTGGGAGAGGAGGGTAAGCGTGGTATAAAACATTAGGGGGAGGTAACCCCAGTTTCCAGAACAGAATGCTGGGTTATAGAAAGAGTAGGGCAGAATTAGAAAGTACCATCAGATCTGCTGAGCCTGGAATGACATGAAATATGCATGCTGCTGAAGAAGGAAGATGAAGAACCAGCCTGCACTGAGACTAGCTTGAAACCCAAGGCAGCGTGGTTTGAGGGTGATTGTTCTGCACTTGGTGCTGTGCTGGGAGCTTTCTGTTCATCATCTCATTTTATCTTTTGGACACCTAGATGAGGTGAGAATGATCATTATCCCCCTTTTCAGATGGTAAAACTAAGGTTTAGACAGGCTTTGCCAGGTGCCCAGGGGTCCCACATCTGGCAGCTAGAGGAAGCCACACGTGACCCTGTTTGATCTCTCTTATCTTTATGATTTTCTACTGTATTCTGCACCCGTGGGATTGGCTTTCCAGCCCTGCTCTCCTCGTCCCTTCCTGGTGATGGATCCACTCCTTGCTCCAGTGGTTCATCTCTTTAGGACCACTTCCTTCTCCATCTGCTTGGTCATGGTGCTTGTTTTCCTTTTAGACTTTTCTTGCTTCTGTCAGATAGTATTGGGAACAATACCTAAGACAGTTAAGTTTAAGATTATTTGAACTTGAGCCAGACAGGTTATCAGGAACTTGTATGCTTAGAATATCACTGTGGTGCCTATCTCAGCCGTGCCATCAGTAGCCACATGAGCAGGAATTCTTATATCTCTGAGTCTTGGCTTCCCCTCTGTAGGATGGGAATGGTAGTAGCTTTGTAGAGCTGTTATGAGGAAGTCGGAAAGGACACTAATCTGTCATCCATTGCAGTCTCAGGACTGTCTGTGTCAGATAACAAAGAGGTTACCTCATCTCCCTGACTCACTGAGACTTTGGACTGTCTTTGGGATTCCTACTTCAGACTCATCCCTGTCCATTTTCTCCACCTAGCTCTTCATGTCATACTCAACTCCGTGTCTCTGTCCCAAAGATCAAGAAGTGAGAAAGTACTCATACATGAAGCAAAGCTAACTGCTTATGCTCTAGCCACCATTTGAGAGTTCGAGAGCCAGTCAGAGCATCACAGGCTCCATTCTCAATTCCTTCTGAATCCCATAAGGTAGAAAACCACACACGAAATGTGCTTCAAAGCTTCTGTCTTTGCACGGGCTATGCAGGTGGGCCTTTTGAAATCCTTCCTCAAATATTGCTATCAAGCTCCATATAGAAAGACTTAAGTATGGTGACACATGTCTTTAGTCCCAGCACACAGAAGGCAGAAGCAGATAGATCTGAATAAGTTCAGATCTATAATAAGGCCAGCCAAAGCTGCATAATGAGACCCTGTCTCAAAGGAGGAGGAAGAAGAGGAGGAAGAAAAGGAAGAAAAAGAGGAAGAGGAAGACAATGACTTAAGGAAATGGCCTGATGAGGCTTGTCTATAGTAAATTCAGCCAAGCTTAACCATAGTCATGGAAAGAATGGGCTCCATAAATGATTAAAAAATCATAATAATAACAGGTTCTAGCATTTACCCTTCTGCTGATGTGCTTTCTCGAAAAGAGGAGAGTTTGAAGAGACACCAGATTGGTGAGGGAGAGTGAAGTTCAAGGCAGCAGAAGAGAAATAAGCCCCATCAAGCCCTTGTGCAAGGCACAGTGAGAGCCTACTGGAGATGTTCTCATAGCACCAAGGCTTAGAGGGAAGGTTGAAAATCACTAGATAGCCATCTTAAATAACCACAGCAGAATGCTGTCTCAGTCCCACTCACTTGCAGCAGGGTTACTTTTGAGACTGAAGATGTTCTTATTAAACAATAAGGTGATGCTCTCTGCACAGTGCAGCACCTCCCAGCCTCCCTGCATCACCTTCACTCTTCCTGTCTACCTCTGGTCTCTTCTCATCACCTCTTACTCAGCTGCCATTTGACTTTCTCTCATCCCTGCGCAGGCTTATGTTCTAGAGACACATCACTTAAGGTTGGTTACACCTTAAGTGTTAGTTAGCTATCGAGGTGCATTTGCTACTAGGCCCATGAGCAAATGACACCCTTCTCCTATTAAGAAACAACCAGGGAACCTGTATCAAGCACAACTTTCACATGTTCACCCTAAGTTGGTTACCAGGGATATTTCCTACAGCTGCAAAGATTTCGAACTGCACAATCACAGGGAGAGCTTTTCCTATGGGGTACAATGTAAGGAGCTTCCCTTGAATTTATCCAGTTCAGAGATGCCACAGTGGTGATACCAAGGATAATAGAACATAGCATTTACTAAGAAATGAACAAGGCATTTGATGAGTATTTTTACATAAAGTGACCTATTGGATTGCTTCCTTAACTCATTGATGTAATCTTGTTTTATCCCATGTATTGTGAAGAGAAACAAGAGGCTGCGATAGGTTTATCCATCAGAGCTCTCACATGTAAGGTGAGAATTTGAGACCAGGGTCCTGAACTCTAGAACACAAGCTGTATGAATCTGTATCCGTGGTCCCATAAGAATGGTCCCATCAGAATTATTTCAGTCCCTTCATTGCAGTGCCTCAAGCCTCCTCTTGGAGAGTTGATTTCAATGTATTATTCACTTTCCTGGGTTGCAACACCCACCTGCCTCTGCAACCAAGATTCTCTGTGCTGTTGGGGAACTCTGACATAAGGATGGTAGGAAGGTCCTGCTGCTAGAGCCAGTCTGCTCAGAGTGATGCCTGTGGCTGTGCCAGTGAGAAAGACTGGCAGCTGTTTAAGATAGGGACTTCATTTTCCAGAATTTTCCCAGGATCTAGCATAGTACCTACAGCACATAAGATACCTTTGAGTAGTTGAATTTGTGAATGAAGGAACAAAAGATGGTGGGAGGTGCAGGGATGGGAGGGTATGGGCAATGCCTGCTTCTTCAACTGAAGAATAAAGACATTCCAGTGTCTTCTGGATCTGTTAGCAAATGTTCTTTCTGGAAGAGCAGCTGCTGTGTTTTCTTGTCACAGGGCCATGAACATGCTGTGACTTTGTAGAACTGCCCGATCTGTTGCTGTTTGCCCCAGAACAGGAATCGGGGCCTCTTTAGAGCATATTTCAAGTTTAAGAGCATTTCTTGTACTCAGCTGTAGAGTGAGTCCCAAGTTCATCTCCCTAGAATAGAACAATTGGAACGAGCAGCAATTCCTTGGTCAGTTGAGTGATAAGATTTTCCTGGTGTTCACAGCAGGAGTGGACAGGGCTTGGTGTGTTCAGAGTTAGACCTTAACCCTTTATTACCCATTCTCTCCTTCAATTATTCAACAGCATGTGTCAGTACTGTGAAAAGTACCAGGCACTGAACATCAGGAACATCTGAGGTTTGGGAGTTTTGTTGTTGTTTTTCTTTGGTTTTGTTTTAAAATCTCCAAACATCAAATCCCATCATCTAGAAGTCTTTGCTGAGTCTAAGTGTCATGATGAAATATGTCCATAACCCCAGCAATGAGAAGCCAGCTAGAGCTACATAGGGAAACCCTGTCCAAAAAAAAAAAAAAAAAAAAGCGCTGAGCAGGTAATAACTCAGTGTAGAGAGCTTGATTACCTTAGGAAGACCTTGGTATCAGGCCCTGCCGTCCTGAGAAAGGATAAGGTAAGACGAACTGAGGTACAAACCCTACGCACTGTAATCCTCACCCCTACCCAGGCTGTAGCTGCTCACCTCCATCCTTACTAAATCATGAGATGGTCCCTCCCCTTCTGGCCCTGATTACTCATTACTCCTTCATTCCTTTTCGTCAGCTGCCATGCACACTACACCCTTCGGCATCATGAGGATGCCAACTCGTTCCTCTTTTCTACTACATGGCTTCTATCTCAGTATCATTATCTATTCTGGAATTGATGATGACTTACATGATTACACAGGGGACCCTTAGGATTAAGCCTCAGTGGTTATCTAAGGGGCATGTGAGACCCCAAGCTGAGAGAGGCTGGCTCCCTGGCTGTCAGGCAAGGACAGAAACCAAGTTAGAAATCTAAGTTAGACTTCTAATTCACAACACAGACCCGTGCCCTTTGCAAATGTTAATCAGAGGACAGATACCTCCACAGCAGTGTCTCTGCCTCCCTTCCCCATATGAATGGCTGCCTTTTCTTTCTTTTAGATAACAGTAGATGAAACTGTTTGTCCTTACCTTTCCTTGGGACATAAAAACCCAGCGAAAGCAACTAAGCGTTTTCAACTTCCCCAGCTGGGTCTGTGATTCATCTGCCCACATGCTTCCCAACAACAGTAATCTGCTACCAGAAATGACAAAATCTGTCCTCCTTGGGGGAAACATCCTTTAACAGGTAGAACCTGTGGATGCCCACTGGTTTTTCTTTTCCCCCTGGTGGTTAGGAAATTGTAACAAGATATGTGTTTCAAGATGAAGAACAACTTTATTATAATGTTTAAGGATTTCATTGAACTCCTATTTAGACCATCAGCCTAAAGCTAATCGGCATGTTGAAAGAAAATAGAACCTTAGGGATTTATTTTAGGACTTCCTCATCACCCTCTGATTCTGAAAGTTATTTCTGGTTAGCTTTAGCACCGGGGAAGGCATGCACCCTGCAGGACAATGGATGTGCCAGCCTGTTTAACCTGACACTGTGACTATTTCCTTTCTGCATCTAATGCATGCTGAGATACAAGAGGCCAATGCTGCTACCTAGCCATTTATTTGGTTGTTGCTTTATTAATTCAAAAAGCCTTAATGAAAACCTAGAAAACTTTCCAAAAATTGAAATGAGGTGGCTCAAAAGGTCTATTTTCTTAGAACAGTCTAGATGATATTCCAGGATAGGAGGTGCTGTAGATTACTGAAGACAAGGGAGGTAGCATTTACCAAAGCTGAAGCACCCCAATAGCACGGACTGGATTTACTTTCCCCATGACTTTGCTCAGACTTAAGTTTCCAAGAGAAAAAACCTTTGTCACCTGGTTTCAGAGCATGAAAGAAGTCAATTATTTACCTGATTTAAATTTTAATTTCCCAGAAAGTTTTATTCTGGGTAAGTTTTCTCCATGCAATTCCCTGCCCCTGTCAAAACAGTTTTTATAAGAGTTAACTATTCTTCCAGATGGGAAGAAAATACTCAGTAGAAACTGTTGAAGAACCCTGATATTTCTGCTGGGAGCTGTTACTTATTGACACTGATTGAAGCCTTATGGATTAGTGAGAATGTACTTGGACTTAGCAGGATTTAGTTTAGGTTTAGCTGTGATTTTGATGTTCCTAAGTCCTAATTTTCCAATAAATTATTATTTTTTCCTGTAGGTGAAATTTCCTCCTTCCGAGGTCTATATGTCTTTTAACTTTCAGCAAAACATTATCACTCCCTAATAGCTGCCAGTTTACTTCAAGGAAAACCAAAAACTCCAAACTCCTAAAGCTTGAACCAGGGAACCAGGCCCAGATGCTTCCCACTAGTTTAAAGTGGTTTAGAGTCTTCTCCCCGTACTGTGATTTCAGGTCATGTTTGTGTCTCTAGAAATGGATTGGTGACATGCCAGCTATGAAAGTTTGCTTCCAAACAGCTAGACTTTTAAGAATCCAACAGTAAAGCTACTGGGATGACCAAGCATGTATCTTTTGCTTCCTAAAAGAACAATGACTCATGAAAGACAGAGGGCAATATCATATCATATCATATCATATCATATATCATATCATATATCATACGCTCGAACAACTTCACTGCTAGGAATAGACTCACTTGAATTGAAATCAAGTGTTCAAATTGTTGTCTGAATGTCCATGATAGAATCATTCATAGTAGCTCAAAGGGAAACCACCACATGCTCATTAATAGAGGAGTGAATGAATGAAGTGTGGCGTATCCACACACTGGACTGTCACCCAGCCTTGAAGAGCAATGAAGTACTGAGACGTGTTCCAACTTGGAAGAACTTAGGAAACACTGTGCTAAGCGAGAGAAGCCTAGCAAAAAAAGGGCACATACTGGGTGGGTCTCTGAATGTGAAGTCCCCAGAATAAGCAAATCCATGGATACAGTAAGCATGGTCATAGTTGCTAGGGTCTGGAAGAGGGAGGCAAGATGAATGACTGCTTCATGGAGACAGATTGGAGTGATGACGATGTTCTGTCAACTGGATCGTAGCAAGGGCTGCACAGCATCGCATTCAGGGTCATTGAGTTGACATTTTAAGATGATTAAATAGTGGGTTTAAGAGATGGCTCTTTCTTTTTCCATTATGTGTGTGCATACATGTGTGTAGTCATGTGTATGAATGAGAGAATTTGGAGTCACACACATATGAGGTGGTCAGAGGGCCAACGTTATCTTTTTTGAAAAAACCCTGAGTTGTCCTTTGCTGTGTAAATGCTCAGCTAGATGACCTTCTAACTCCCAAGATCTTCCTGACCCATTTCCCATTTCCCCCACAGGGGTGCCGGGATTACAGATACTCAAGCCATTCCTCCAGCTTTTACATAGGTTCCGAGAATTCAAACTCAGGTCATCATGCTTGCATGCCGAATGTGTTTACAACTGAGCCATCTCCTAGCGATTGTATTGTGCCCCCTCCCCTTTTTAAATCACGCACACATATAGTAGATATAGAGTACATTAGGAAAGACATTTCAGAGTGAAGCTGTGCCTCAACGCAAATGCCTTTGAGGTAAAGCAGATAAGAGAGAATTCCTGCCTGTGCTGGCTAGTTTTATGTCAACTTGACATGGCTAGTCATTTGAGAGGAAAGAACCTCAGTTGAGAAAACACATCCGTTATATTAGGGTGTGAGCATTTTCTTAATTAGTGATTGATGGGAGCGGGCCCAGCCCATTGTGGGTGGCACCAACCCTAAACTAGTGGTCCTGAGTTCTATAAGAAAGTAAGCTGAGCAAGCCATGGGATGGAAGCTAGTAAAGCAGCACCCTTCCATGGCCTCTGCATCACCTCCTGCCTCCAGTTTCCCCCCTGTATGAGTGTCTGTCCTGACTGCCTTCAGCGATGAACAGTGATGTAGAAGTGTCAGCAAAAGAAACCCTTTCCTCTGCAAGAAGGAAATGGTTTTGGAAATGGTGCTTCATCACAGCAATAGGAAGCATAAATAAGACATTGCCATTGGGCATTAAAAAGAGAGGGGTCTGTGCTCTCCCTGCAGAGCTTAAAGTAAGGAATTCTGTAGGGAAGAATGCTGGCAGTACAGCCAAAGCTTGCTGATGTTCTGTAAGCCAGGGCAACACACACCCAATCTCCGGGCAAAAGACTCAGCAACTCTCGTGGCAGAGACATCAGCCTCCCCGCTGCAGCTTTCTGAAGTAGTCCAGACTTAGAATGCCAAGTGACAGCAAAGCTTTGGACAGGCTTTGGTGGCCAAGCAGATGACAGAAGTCTACCTTCCAAGTGGAGTTTGCTGTTGGAAGGAAACATTGCATGAGTTCTGTTTTCCTTTACTGGGTCATGGAAGTAATCAGGTATGGCAGGGCAAGTGACTTAGGCTTGAACTGTTTCAGGTTCTTCAACTAAGACTTGGAGATGATAGTCTCTGCTCCTTCACACTGTCCAGATGTCCCCCTTTACTGTCCATCCTTCCTACTCAAATAGCACCTTCCTGACTGAGAATGAGGGAAGTCCTGATTATGGCTACCCTTGTCCATCAGGACCTATTTTCAACTGGAACTGGGTGAATATTTGGTAGGAGACTAGAGCTGACAGCAAACCACCTGCCAGAGATCAGGCTCCTCTCCCCTCCTCTCCCCTCCTCTCCTCTCCTCTCCTTTCCTCTCCTCTCCTCTCCCCTCCCCTCCCCTTCCCTCCCCTCCCCTCCCCTTCCCTTCCCTGCCTTGCCTTCCCTTTTCTCTTCTTTCCCCTCCACTCTACTCCACTCCCCTTCTCTTCTCTTTTCCTCCCTCCCTCCCTCCCTCCCTCCCTTCCTTCCTTCCTTCCTTCCTTCCTTCCTTCCTTCCTTCCTTTCCTCCACCTCCTCTTCTTCCTCTTCCTCTCCCTCTTTCTTCTTCTTTAGACAGGGTTTCTCTGTGTAGCCCTGGCTGTTCTGAAACTGGCTAGCTTCAAACTCAGCAATCTGCCTATCTCTGCCTCCTAAGTGCTGGAACTAAAGGTGTGTGCGCCCCGTGCCTGGTGTTTCCTTCTCTCTGTCTCTCACTCCAACTTCCTTCCTTCTCTTGTTCTCTTTCTCTTTCCCCCTCTCTTTCTCCTTCCATTCTTCTTATCTTTTTCTTCCTCCCTTTCTTGAGTTTTCTCTCCCCTCCTCCTTTACTTCCTGTTTTTCTTCAGTAATAGAGAGTGAGCCCAGAGTCTTACACAGGCTCACCAAGTGCTCCACTGCTATGCTACATCCCTGCCCATAGATTCAGTGTTTGAGTGAGTGTTGAATTAAAAAAAAAAAAAACCTTGAAAGCCTCATCCAACCTGGTGTTCATTCATTCACCCTTTCGTTTCCTCATCCAGACAGATAGGCACGGGAAAACCATCCCTATGCTCAGGTGCCTAGATAGAAGCAATGGATACCTAGGGATCTCACACTTTAACAGCTGTCTAGCTAAGTCATCGAACTAAAGAATAAGGGCTTGAAGCTGTGTGAGGCTTCATCTCACCCCACCCCATTTGTCTCTTGCAGTGTACCAAGACATGTGGTGAAGGCTCCCGGTACCGGCAGGTGGTATGTGTAGCAGAGGACCAAAGTGAGGTGCACAGCACACACTGTGACTCAGACCAGCGGCCTCCAGACCGTGAGAGTTGCAGCCTACAGCCCTGCGAGTACGTGTGGATCACAGGAGAATGGTCTGAGGTATTGTCCTGGGGAATCTGTGATGCCTTCAGTGTAGGAGCAGCAGAGTAATGAGACAGGAAACCTACCTCCCAGGTCTACTTCTGAAAATCATGGGTTCTTACCCAATCCCAAGTTCCTTGAGTTCTGCATTCTGTGAGTCACCTTGATTTTCTTTTAATAGCGATAAAAAGGGAATTATGACAGGGCCTGATAATTCATCTGGTGCCTTTAGGTCTATATAGAAGCTAGATATCATGACTTGAGCATATGTAACCTTAACACCCCTACCGGAAGATGGGAAGTGAAGGAAAGAGAATGCTTAGAAATATATGATCCACATAGCATGTTGTATGTAGAGGAAGGACGAGATAGAGACCCTGTCTCTAAACAAGGTAGAAGGTGAGACCAACACCTAAGTTTGTCCCCTGACCAACACACACCTTGTAGCATGTGCACACCACATTCACACAAATGAACTTCAATGTACACCTAGACAAACACACAGATTATATACAAACACACACACACACACACACACACACACACACA